GCCAATAAGGCAGTTTCAAATTTGTCTTAAAGAAGCACTGGGGAAAAAAGCTCAACCCTGTTCAAAATGAGAAGCTAAGGGAAAACCCAAACATTAAACTTCAAAAATTAAAATATGTAAGGAGGCTAAGGAGCAGGGACAAAAGCGGGGAACTCCCTCTCAAAAAAAACAAGCACCTTTTGAGAGGTACTGTTAAAAGCAGAGAATCTGCTGAAGAGGGCCCAGAAACATTTTTGTTAAATATTTTCGTGAAATCAGAGTTAACCAAGTAAGATTTCCCCACACACCCATGATGCGGTTTTGAAGTAAATCCATTTAAACCAAGACATGGTTTGCACATATTCACTTAAAAAAAAACCACAAACTTTAGGTGAAATCAGTGTTCCTGTCTCACAACAGAACCTCAAAATGTGGAGAACTGGAAAGGGTTAGTTAACCTGTTCTCCCTTAAAAGAAAATCAGCATTTTAACAACAACAACAACAACAAAGAAAATACTTAAGAAAATTAAGACATGCACATGTAAGGTACAAAAGACACTAACTTTAATTCTTTCCCATATGAATGTCAACATGCTGAAATAAGGAAACTGCATGCAATACTACTTGGTCTAATGGGTACCACATTGCATCCTCAGGCTTTGTGCTGGAGACATAAAATGGTAGTATTTACTAGGGAGGAAGAAGACACTAATTTAGCAAGTTGCTTATTACACCTTTAATGCAGCAGACTTAAAATCTGCCTGGTTACTGCTGCTTTAAACATGCTCTTTCTTCCTAAGTCACTGTAGTGTCTGGAGTGGAGGGAAGGGGCGGGGAAGGGAAGAAGTTTGCTACTTGTAATGGTCACATTCTTCAAAGCAATGCATAAGGAAGCCTGAACCAAGCTTTTCCTGACTTCCTATTATTTGTGTTCTGGCTATCAGTTCTCATACACTGACAGCATACAAGGAATGAGAAGGACTACTAAACAGCAGCAATGAAACCTCATATGACAATGGAATAGGTTCCATGGAATAGGTAGAATTAGAGGTGGGCACGTTTGAGATCTGGCTTGTGGACTGATGTTGCTGGGAGGATTAGGATAGGCCACTTTTTCTAGTTGCAGGCTAGAATGACCCACTCCAGGTCAGATGGGAGCAGACAGGAGGCTGCCTGTCCTTGCAGTGCCAGGGGAAAGTGCCTGCAGGTGAAGCCCCAAGTCTGTGGGCTGGATCCAGTGGTTCGACTGTCTGAATCTGGCCTGTGAGTCCTTGGCTGCTGAGCCCTGCCTGATTAGATGGCAGGGGCGCACCTAGTTGCTGAAATTTTGTCCAGAGCCCAGTTAAGAGATCTCCACATCACACCAGCCACAGGGAAGTGCCTCAGCATCCTTCTGTGGCCCCAAAGCTGATGTAACCATGGGTCCCTTTTACCAACCTGCTCCCTGCCTGAGTACCACAGTCTAGGGAGGGAAGTCACACATTTCCTACTCTCCAGCCCCCACAGCGTGAGCAACACCAGCATTAGCAAGTCACCTCTGTGGTCCCTTCCCCCCACTCCCCCTTCAGAAGTGGTGGCAGACGACACAAGGAGCAACAGTCTCAAGTTGCAGCAAAGGAAGTTTAGGTTAGATATGAGGAAAAACTCCCAAGGTGGGTGGTGCAGCCCCGGGACAGGTTACCCAGAGAGGCGGGGGGGAACCCCATCCCTGGGGCCTTTCAAGACCCGACCAGACAAAGCCCTGGCTAGGATGACACTGTTGCTGTGAGCAGGGGGCTGGACTAGACAGATGCCCCTACGACCTGCCCCCACCCAGGGCCCGACGCTCGC